AAAGAGAAGACAGTCAGTGAGGAGGCCTCCGGGCGCAGCCCCGCCGGCACCCTCCCCGTGGGCTCAGGAAACGCGGCCCCGGCCCTCAGTATCTGTGTCCACCTGGGGTCTTCCTTGTCTCAGGTTCTCACCCTACAACATGCCCAGTACCCACCCGAGACCTGCCTCGCCCACGCCGCGCAGGCCTGAGGCAGCAGATCAGGCTCACTACCAGGAAGGCTCGGAAAGGAGCCGAGCCAGCCCCACCCGCTCTGGCTGAGCGAGCCCTGCGGCCCCGGTGAGGGCACAGGAAGTTGTTCTGAAGGGCCCCGGAGGCAGACACGACAAGTCGGAGGCCTGCCCACCCCAGTCCAGAAGTACAGGGTCCGTCAGGGGCAAACGGCCCCACGCAGAGAGGACAGAGCTCCGGAGAGGCCAGGCAGGATGGCGGGGCCTTCCTCCCTCACCCCTGCTCGTCGCGGCCCAGGGGACTGAGGGCAGCGGAGTCAGAGCAGACGGGGTACTTACGAGAAGGCAAAGGCCACCAGGGCCCCACTGACCACAATGAAGTCCAGGATATTCCACAGGTCCCGGAAGTAGGCGCCAGGGTGCAGCAGCAGTCCCAGGTCGATCATCTTAAGGGGAACGATGCACGTTAGGGCCCGGAATGTTTCAGAAAAGGGAGGCAAGGTCAGGGCCCAGAGATGAGAGGGCGGGAGATGATAAATTTAAGACGACTTCCAAAAGGGGGAAAAGGACATGCCCAGGTCACATGCTGTCAGGGGAGGGGACAGCCCAGGTCACGCCCTGAGAGCCTCACTGGCCTTTGGGTCTCTGTGTCGTTGCCCTAAATGACCCTGCATGGTCATGACTGGCTGCGCTTCTGCCGGGGGCCCCCATTCCCCCGGGTCTGGACTGAGACCCTCCTCCGTGCCCGGGAGCTCACTCCCCCCACGACCCTGGGGTCCTCGGTGCAGCAGGAGGAAGTGCTGGTGGACTGCGCCCCTCCTCAAGGGGTGGCTTTTGGCAGGCACATTAGTCTCTAGGCCTCAGTATCCTGGCTTGTGAAATGGAGTAATGTCTCCCCCAGGACTGCAGCCACAAAGAGAAGCCACCTGAGCCTCACGCGTGTACTCCGGAACGGCCCCACACTCAGAGCCTGCACGTGTGTGCACGTTCGATCGCACGCACACAAGCCTGTGCAGACACGCACAGGGCGCTCGTCAGACATGGATGAAGAACAAGCCCATCACACCCGGAGACAGAAGCAAAGGTCACAGCGACATGGCTGGCTCTTCATCTAAGACTCAGCGCCCACGTGCCTCGGTCTCTGGCCCTGAGGCCACTGCCCTCTGCCCAGCTGCCAGCCCTCCAGCCCGAGGCACCGAGGGCGGGGCTGAGCTCAGGCCTGCACTTTAAGGGAGGCCTGTCCCCCTCGGTCAACAGGCCTCATTAGCAGGCAGTGGAGACCAGGGACAGCCCTGTGAGCTCCGAGGCTGCCGGAGCTGCAGTGAGTCCATAATGAACGAGGGCCTCCACGAGACACAGCCCCCACCTGCAGTGCGTGTGCCCCTGGCACCGCACATGCATGTGCCTCTGTCGCCGAGCACACAACAGGGCACGCTCACCCACGCCTTCCTAGGAGTTTCCGGGCTCCCCACCCAGCCCACTCTAGGTCACCAGGCAACCACATGTCTGACCTTTATCACCATCTCAAAGGTGAAGACGCCTGTGAAGATGTAGTCCATGTACTTCAGAGCCTGGAACCAAAAGAGAGGCTGTTTTCAAAGGCTAGGCCCGCAGCACGTGCCAGGGCCGCTTCAGCAGCTCCGGGTCTCCCTGCAGGCGCCTAAACAGACATCCTGTCAGCCAGGTGGCCTAGGGCCACGTCGTCGTCGTGGGGAGAGGAGGGGAGGGGAGGAGGCCCATCCCAACGGGGCCTGCCTGTAACGCGGGCCGACCCAGCAGCCCCAGGCCGCCTATTCCCACGGGACCCCGGCTTCACCCAGCTGCTCTGCAGCCCACTGGCCACACTCACGTTGTTCCTGGGCGAGTCTGACTGCACGGGGTCCTCAGCCGCCAGGGCGATGCTGCTCAAGGCGATGACCACGAGAATGACCATCTCGAAGTACCGCATGGTCACAATGTAATGGCAGAAGCGGCGGAGCCTGGGGGCAAAGCAGGGGCAGCAAGGGCCCAGGTGGGTGGGCTGGGCGGGCCCTCCTGCAGGAAGCTGCCAGGCCAGACCCGGGCTCTGGCCCTGTGGTCAGGAGACAGTGGCCAGGTGACTGATGGGGACGGGCTCCTGAGAGGGCGTCCCAGGACGGGGGTGGGCAGGCAGCAGAAGCCCAGAGCAAGGGTCTGCTGGCCTCAGCTGCAGGCCGAACTGCTTCAGGAAGTCCCACTGGGCACAGCCTCGGCCACTCGTACCCCTGCTGTGTGGGCTGCTGTGGCTTTGCAAGTGCGCAAGTTTGCCGTGGGTGGGACGGAGGGGCTGAGCACCAGCACCTGCGAGGGCAGGCCTCCCTCCAGCCCCAGGAAGCTTCGGGTCTGCGCCAGGCGCGGCACCCTTGTCTGAGCCCCAGGCTGCGTGTGCACGCTGCACTTCTGCCACCGGTCCACCTCCACTCACTGGTCAGCACTACTGACCCCTACTCTGCTCTGTTCAGGCACGCTGTGGACAGGGTCACCGTGGCGAGCAGGACACCAGTAAGTAGTGCAGACTCAGACGCTCAGCACAGCAGCAGACAGTGACCAGGGGTCAGCGAAGCCCCTCGAGGGGACAGGAAAGCCAATCCCCGTAGGTGAGCACATGAAGTGGACGTCGCTCCAGCCACGGTGAAGGAAGCGCTCTCGCGGAGCTGCCCCTCCTGCCTCCACAGGCTCGCCCGCCCCCACCAGCCCCTCCGAGGCGCCAGCTCCCAAGGACACGCCAGCCCAGCCGCCCACGTCACTCTCCCCCTCGAAGGGCCTGGGCTTTACACTTCTGTCCTCCTCGTGCCTGACCACCACTGTCCAGCTCCCGCCCCCCACTCACCAAAGCCACCCTCCCGAGGCCCCCGCGAACCTGCTGCCGCTGCTCCCTCCTTGCAGAGACAACACCCCCCCACTCCCTCGATCTGCGTCTCAGGCCCTCTTCTGTCCCGGCCCCTCGTTCCCCCTAACCAACAGCTGCCGGGCCATCTCGTGGCTGAGCGGCCACCCTAGCTCAGACCCCAAGTCCACCAGGCCACGAGCCAGGCTCTGCGAGGTCTGCACTCACCGCCCCCAGCTCAGTGGGCCCCGAGCCATCAGGCAGAAACCCTGCCTAGCGTCCCTGACATCTTTCCATTCCACCTCTAATTCATCGAATTCTGCAAATTCTACCTCCAAAATTTCCCCTGACCATCTGACTTCCAAACCTCTCCACCATGATGGCCCTCATCAAATCACCACCATCTTACCCTGAGAGCCGTGACTACTGGCTATGGGGGCTCCACCTCTAGCCCTCCTGCCAAAGGCCCTGCCGCAATGCAGTCCAGCTGTGGCACCTCCCACCCCTGCCGCGTGCAGCCTCTCCAGCCCCTCAGGGCTCCTTGTGCACCTTCTGTTTCCCCACAGACACACAGCAGCCCAGGGAACGCCCGTGCTCTCCCACCCAGCTCTGTCTTCGCTGTTTTGAGTCCGGAGTCTTTCAGTGTAAATTCTCTCCTCCCTCCAAGAATGCATGGTCCCCCCTCCGCATTCTAACTCTCGTTCACCCTTCAGGTTTCAACTGTGATCTCTCACTTCCTCCAGGAAGGCTCCCCTGACGTTCCCCTGCCTGCTCCCAGCAGTGAACCTCCTTGCTTTACCTTCGCACACTGGGCCCGTTCAAGGCTAGAGGCAGGGGCCAGACCAGTGTCCACCTCCATCCTGCTCCTCACCCTGAGCAGACGCGCTCCCGGTAGATGTGCGCAGCATGTGGGGGCGACAGGAGGGCTGAAGGAGGGGAGGTAACGGACGCAAGCACAAGGCCACGGACCCTGCTGCCCTGAGCCCTGGGTCCACGGGGTCCGCTTTACTCTGAGTCGCCTGTGCCTTACGTGCTCTCCGCTCTGTTCCTGTCTCATGTCCCACCTCCATTCGGCAGCCCCCGTCCCTGCATGGTGTTTCCTCTCCACTTTTCCCACCTTGGAGACTCTCACACCCTCCGCTACTTGTCTCATCCACTGTCCGTCCCTCCCACTAGCGTGTGAGCTTAAGGGGAAGGGCCATTGTCTGCTCCGCGCATCACCACGTGTGGCAATGCCTCGATGGCTGCTGGGCACGTGAACACTGCCTGGGCTCCTGAAGGCAGCTGGTGAGTGGAGAAGGGGCCCCGGGGCAGCAGGGCACACGTCAGAGGGGACACTGTGTGGACCGACGTGAGTGAACAAGGCGTGCACACGGGTGCCAGTGTGCAGAGACGAAGAGGTGCTGAGGCGGGGGGTTAAGAGCAAGGTGCTGGGACAACAGCCTGGTTCAAACCCCAACTCCACCCCTGGGATGGACGGGCCTTCCCTGTGGCTTCGTGTCCCTGCCCGTAAAGTAGGTGACGACGGCGTATGCCTTGCGGAGCACCGTGGTGACGTTAATACATGTAAAAGGCCAGGTCATGTCAGGTGCACGCTGCTATCACGGGCCCGTGGATGAAGGGGGCAGGCAGTGGGTGACGCGACTCACAGGTTGGTGGGGCTTAAGCAGAACATGGAGCTGTGTGGGACGATGGGGCGGGGGCCACTCCTCATCAGGTCGTCAGCGCCCACCTCCTTCTTCCCTTCCGCTTGGCTCTCCAGGTCCACATTACCACCTGTGAGGACACGAAGCCACCAAGTTAGGGCCGTGGCGCACATCCTCCTGCAACACACAGGTGTCCCCGTGGCAACCCCACAGGTGAGCGGGGCGGGCCTCCAGGGACCACCCAGCAAAGGGTGTGTGGGCGACGGCCGGGGCCCAGACAGCACTGAAGACCTGGGGCTGCCTGCCTCAGAGACCCCAGAGACCCCTCCTCACCTCTCCCTCCACCAGGGAGCAGCACGGAGCACAGCGGGCATCCTTGGCTACGGTGCCTCTGCCTCCTCGGGGGCCATTAATCTAGACACTGTAAGACTGGCAAAGCCCCTTCAGCCGCAGAGACCACGGCCGGTAGGCTCCCCCCGCCCCCTAGTGCAGGGGTCACCCTTTGGGGAAAGGAGCCGTGTGGCTGCCTGGTGAGAAGGGCCAGCAGCATAGGGAGGAGCAGGGGCCAGGCTGGACCTCAGACGCTCCCCGGGCTGGGTGGTCCAGTCTGAGCTGCTGGGCTGGGCCTCAGAGGACGCTGACCCGGGGGCACAGGCAGGGCCATGGCACACGCTTCCACGTTGGCCTCGCTCGGCCCCCGCCCCTCACTCCTCACCCCCTCCCCTAGTGCCCGTCCTCTGCTCTCAGAAACCCCTCCCCAGCTCGGCACCGGCAAATCAAATCCCCAGGGTTAAAACAGCTGTCACCACTGTTCTTTTTAAGAAGACTTTGCTGTTCATGCATAGAATGTTTCTCACGGCAGCTCTTCATTTGTAACTACCTACTGTACATTCAACCCTTGCAGGGTTGCAGGTAATGGTTCCTGAGACCCCAGGGACACCCAGCAAGACAGGGCACTGACTTGGAACCGACACCCACTGTCCGCCTCACTTTTATTTCTTAGAAGAAACATAAAAGCAAAAAGAGCCTGTGTGAAGACCCAGGCTCCCAGCTTCTCCCCCGATCGCTGGCCCCTCTGAAGTCCTGCAGAGAATGGCTGGGCCAGAGGAAAAGCCTCCAGCTGAACACGAACACAGCGTGAGCCGTAGCAGCAGCTAGTCTGCCTACCGGACACCAGCGAATTTCCCTGCGGAAGCCATGAACTACATAATCTTCTAAGAAAGCAATTTGGCAAGCCCTAAAAAATCCTCTGTTGACTCAATTTGTATGACATTAACTCTTAAGGAAATCAAGAATGCACACAAAAACCTGGATTCACGAAGAAGTCTGTTACAAGTTCTTTCACAATAACAAAAGATTATGAAATGTACAACCAGAGGAGACAGATTAAGTGTGTGGTACTTCTAGGAAGCACACTGTGGATATCAAAATGTCTGCAAACAGTTTACATGACAGGAGAAGAAGCTCACGATATAGGTTAAAAAAAAAGAGACAGGCAACACACTGGTGTGTCCCAGACGGGCCCAACTGCGGAAACGACACACGGGGAGGGGAGCGACCCTGAAGCAGCAGCAGCCGCCGTGGTGCTCTCTGGACGGCCTTCTGATGGCAGTTCTAACTCTCTTCACTATGCTTTTGACACTAAAATTTTTCCCAGGATGGGCATGTATCACTTTTAAATTAAGAAACATTTATTATTTTAAAACCACAACTTTTCAGACTCTTCCACAACAACAATTAAGCAAGCCCGAAGATAAGTAACCTGGGGAAAAATAACCAATACAGACTTTGGAGGGGGTAATTAGGTTTATTTATCTTAATGGAGGTACGGGGGATTGAACCCAGGACCTCCTGCACGCTAAGCATGCGCTCCACCGCTGAGCTGTACACTCCCCCCCTTTTCTTTCAACATAGACTTAATGAAGAATTTTCCTGCTCAAAAGAAGTGGAATCAAGATGCCAGAGCCGATGAAATACTTCTCCTGAAATAGATTCACTACAACAGAAATCGTCAATTACGTGAACTCAGACCAAGACAAATGGGAGAAGATCCAAACACGAACTGCAGCAGACTGAGCAGATTCATTGTGGGACGCAGGTTACTAAAAAGAAAAGGAAAGAAAGACTTGACAGCAACAAAAACTACTTCATTTTAACACAAGACAACCAAGCCCGATGGCTAGACACACAGGGGAAGAAAGACGGCAGAACAGTCGCTGAGGACAGGCGCGCGCCGGCTGCGCCGGGGGCTCCGCTCACCACAGCAGCGCTGGCTGGCACGTACCTGTACCCCACCTTCCCGACTGAGAAACTGAGGCTGGGCTGAGGGAGGACTTGTGGGGACATGATCTACTGACACTGGGGTAACAGCCCTGGGCCTCGGGCTCCTGCAAGGCAAGGAGGCTGAGTGAGGCCTCGTGCTAGCTGCCCCCTCCAAGGGGCTGCGGCGCCCTGGGCTTCTGGGGGAGCACACGTAAGTCCTCTCCCACAGAAGCGTCCCTCATCTGGCCCACAGAACCCCCACCAACGAGACCGCTCTTCCCAACTTGAAGGGAACTTACGCCTAATGTTCCAAGACATACACGATGTAGAAAGAACTGCTCTCCTAGAGCTGTGTACCGTCGCTGGGAGGACAGAAAAAGTCATCAAACAAGGCTTCTTTCTGTAAGGCTTAATCACCTCACAAACCGGCAGTTACGGTCAACCTCACATGAAGTACCAGCAAACATACACATAACACGAGCACGGTGAGCAAAAGCAGAGACAAGTCACAGGCTGATAACCCTCACTGGGCTCCGGCTGTAAGTGCTCTCAGATGAGGAATACAAAAGAACTAGATACAAATATGTCAAGAAATAAAAAATGAACCTTTAGAAAATGAGCAGACAACAGAAGTCTATAAAACTGATGCAGCATTTTCCACGGCCTTTGACAGAGAGCCTGAAAATGGACCCACCGTCCTACTGAAAGCAACTATAAAAGGTGAACAAACACATAACGTAACTGTTCCAAGGCACTGGGACCGAGGGGCATGGACAGAACCCGAGAAGGCACAACCCTTGGGAGGAAGGGTGACCCCACGCGCACCCGGGGCTCCTTTCCTGTTTGCAGTGCAAGAGAGCAGGACCCAGGCCGAAAGCGACACCCCCCACCGGGAGGAAGAGCAGAAGACTGGGGTTTGGGGACGACAAGGGGCAAAACCCCAGAGAGGAGAGAAGGGCCGAGAGTGAGCCCCTCTTAGCTCCCCTCCGGACCTGCTGCACACTGGGCTCGCCAGAAGCAAACGCCCTCAAGGAGGCTCCTCTCAAAGGAGGCGGCAGGGCTGAAGGCCGGGTGCTGGGGGCAAATGCAAAGAGACACAACTTTGCTATTATTTTGTATTCGGATTGTTCTTGTTTTGTTCATGTTCTGGTTACAGAGTTACATACCTTTTTCTTTTAAAAAGTCAGTGTCAGTGTGTCAGTTTCTGGCGTACAGCATCATGTCCCAGTCGTGCATATATGCACCTATATTCATTTTCATTAAAGGTTATTACAAGATAGTGAATATAGTTCCCTGTGCTGTGCAGAAGAAATTTATTTTTTATCTATTTTTATATACAGTGGTTAACAGAGTTACATATCTTGAATAATTTGCTCTTAACCTTATGTTTTCTGCAAAGCCTATTATTTTCAGTACATGGCATTTTCAGAATACCACGCATGAATAATGTTACAGCAGGAAGGTCTGTACTTGAGGAAGACAGAAACTCACATTAAAGGAAGGTCTGAGACGCAGGAAATTGGTGAATCTAAATAAACATAATCTCCACAAAGCTGTTGGGGAGGAAGAGAACTTCACATTTCTAGGTTCTTCTGGCTGGTCTGAGAATTACATTGACATGAGACAGACGAAAAGGAGAAAATCAAATGTCACTTCATACATATGGGAACCACACGTACACGAGAGGTTCAGAGACAGAAAGGTCTGGACGACACCCTGAGCTAAGAGGTGGGATGGGGCCCGGGGCTTCCTGGGATTTCCAGGGACAGGAGGGCGACTCACAGGACCCCACGGAGCAGAGTCGGGTTCTGGTGACGAGATGTTCGCCCTGCCATCCAGATGGGGCCACTCAGACAACACTTCTCTCTGGTGGTAACTCCTTCCAGGCAAAAATCCCCAATTTAAATTCTTCTAGGTGGTTAAGGCAGGGGCAGCAGTTTCTCTTAAACTCACAAGGTCTCAATTACCTTCGGCTCAAAATAATCCTTGTGCAAAAGTGACACGTTTGGGGAGGCGCCTTCTGAACCCCTACGAAGTCAAAACAATAACAACACCTACTCCGTGGGAGAAAAAGGACTAAAATGCTGGACAGCAATAACAAAGAAGTTGGGAGAGGGGGGACTGCAGCCGCTGCTCTAAGGTCTTAGAACTTGGAGTAAAAATAACTAGATTTTTAGCAACTGTAGGAGAAAACAGCATAGGGAAAATGTCACGATCTAAAAAGGATGAAGCAAGTCCAAGTAAATTAATAACCACAATAAACACAAGCAGATGGAACCTGGCTAGTGACCGACACAGATTATCCACATGGACATTTTTAAAATAGGTTATATGTGGTTTCCAAGAGACAAGCCTAAAATACAAGGCCCCGTAAAGGCTGGAAGTCAGAAAAGGGAAAAAGATACACCTGGCAAACGTGCATCAAAAAACCCCCAAAAGCCTCAGGTATATACTCACACCAGGAAAATACTCCGGAAGAAAGAAACCGTAGTTAGAGTGAAGGCAGCTCGCCACGAGATGAAACGAAGGTCAGCTCCAGTAACACACAGCAACTTTAAGGATACACAGAGCAGCTTAAAACGCAGAAAGCACACACACAGGGAGACCTGACAGCCAGCGTAAACAGAGATTTCAATGCAGCCCTCTCAAATACCGACGGGTCAGCCTAGCAAAATATTAGCGAATACACAGAAACTTCAGCCATACAACTAACAAATGTGATACAGCAGATGAGTACTAACATGCGTAGCGTCCCCAGTTAGAGAAAACACCTTCCTCTTAGGTGTCCAGGAAACACTTGCAAAAGCTGAGCCTCAAAGCAACCGTGAAAGTGTCTCCAAGGAAACGTCCCGCTGGTCCTGTTCTTGA